AGCGGAGCGAGCGTAGTCTTTCCTTAGATTAACGGAAATTTCTGAGTATGAGCGGCCGGCCGTGGTCACGCTTTTGCGAGGCTTATATCTCAGCAACCACCTGACCGATTTACATGCAGTAATTTTTGTAGGGTAGCTTCATTCCTTCTACCAAGTATTGGACTATTCCCGATGCATGTGGGTGACCCCTTATGCACGTGCCACGTGCAAAACGAAGAGGTGTCACTTTTGTAATTGTTGCAATATCTCGGTAACTACTGGGCCGATTGCGCTGAGAGTTGGCATGTAGGTAGGCACCCACTAGGCAATGCATATCCATGTGCCAGAGTTGGGGTGCTGCTGCACGTGCGCACGTGCAGGGGTCGTTTCCAGATCTCGAGAACGGCTGGACCGATTGCGCTCAAATTTGGTACACGGTTACGGAGCAGATAGTAGGGTGCCGTGCACAAGTCAGTTGGGACCCATTTTGCACGTGCGCACGTGCAGGTTGCCACTTCCAGATCTCGAGAACGGCTGGGCCGATTGTGCTCAAATTTGGCACATCGCTAGAGACCGGTTAGTAAGGTGCCGTGCACAAGTCAGTTGGAGGTACCCCCTCGCAATTTCGCACGTGCAAGGCCCACCCTCTCGCTCGCTCCGTTAGTCGCCACAAAAGGCGTTATACTGGTGTATGGTATATGGGGCCATTCCGACCCGTTTTAGTGGTAAAAGCAGGGAGTGGATTTCCCCCCCCCCCCCATTGACTTATAATGGGGAGGTCGCCAAGTTGACCTGACCTTAGGTCACCGACATCAAAATTCCGAGATATACAAATTGTAGCTACTAATGACCTAATAACATCCTGCGACTTTCAAAGGCCTCCGACATCTACTGTAGCTCTGGCACGGTGACAAAGTTGCAAAAAAGTGACTTGAGGTTGGGTCATTCAAAGTGACTTGGTGACCTGACCTTTAAAGTTAGGAGGTTCAAACTTGCACACCATGTGTAAAATTGATGAGAAAATAGTCGTACCAAATTTCGCAGCGCTACGCGCCGCGGTTTTCCCGCTATCCGCGAAAAACCTCAGGGGGGGGGCGGATATCCGCCCCCCCGTCGGTGCGCGGGTTAAGTCAGAAATTATTGCAGAAAACTGTTCTTTATAAAAAACAGTTATCTTCTAAGTTTTTGCCCTCTGGACTTCTGGAGGCCAAATCGTTGACCTGAGGTCAAATCTGAGGATTTGTCTGCGAAAGAACGTTGAAAGAGCTTGAGTTTTATTCACGATCGATGGCAACACAAGTCAAATTCCTAAAACCAGGCGTTTCGGCCACAGGGTGTCATCGTCAGTGGACACTAGTGATTAATATATTGAGACGGGTCACACAGCACATTGGGTGGACGCGTTTCGTCTAAATGACTTTTTCGACACCCTCTCGGAAATTAAAACAATACAAACACACAAGAATAAAACTAGCACAGCAGTCTCACACTCTGTTGAAATACAGCATGCTAAGAATGCGCATTACTACAAATGATAACCTTCGATAAAAACTATTTGTCGGTACACACTACACAGCTACTGTTACATAATCATCGACGAGAATAAAAATAGCACACTTATAACGACTCGAACGGTAAGTTTTTTAAGTCAAGTTTTTAATGCTGAACACTGCTGCTGATTTTGCCCACTTAATAAACCCTACCCTGGTATTGATCGTATCGTTCGTTGTAATAAATGCCGCTTCGATCGCTCTCCGACATCCCTTGTTCCCACAATTCGCTAACACTTTCGCCCCGTCCCAATTTGGCAAATGACTAGTGGAATGTGCGTGAACAACAAAGGCACTGTGGTCGGCGTCGTTTCGTATGTCTCGCTTGTGCTCTTTTAATCGTGTTTGGATTCCCCTACCAGTGTCTCCAATATAAGATTTGTCGCAGTTACCACACGGTACCTGATAAACTGCACTAAGTTCTCTATTTCTAGAAGTTTTCTTTTGAGTTAACTCACCTATCTTCTTTCCAGTGGTCAGTGCCACCTTGAAGCCTGTCGTTTCGAGTTTCTGAGTGATGCTTTCGGCTACTTTTGAGTTCGGTATTGAAATAAATCGTGTGTCTTTCTTTCGAGCTGTTTCGTTCCTCGTTTTGTTTCGAATGTTTAAAGCCTTCTTTTTCAAACGAATGAGAAGACCCTTTGGGTACTTCAGCTTCATGAAAGATGAAAAGATATGCCTGATTTCGTCATCGAGATATTCTTCGCTGCATATCCGGAAAGCCCTTAAAAAGAACCCCAAGACTATCCCACTTTTGACCCTCTCGCTATGGCCTGAAAAATAATGAACGTAGTCTTCCTTATTTGTAGGTTTACGATACACTTTGAATTTTGCATGACTACCACTTCGTACTACTTCGGTATCTAAGAAGGGAATGGAGCCGTTTCTCTCTGTTTCTATAGTGAACTTGATATTTGGGTCAACCGCGTTCAGTTCGTCAAGTTTCGTTTTCAAGTCGATGTCTTTTGGCGCTACAACTAAGACGTCGTCAACATATCGCACCCACAATACATTTTCACCCATAATATTTTGGTACCTGTGTTTTTCTAGCCACTCCATATAAAGGCAAGCAGCCACCGGACTCAGAGGCGATCCCATAGCTAGCCCGCTGTGCTGAACATACTCATCTGACTCGAACCTGAATCCTCCAAATTTCATGCACATTGATACAAGGCTAATATAGTCAGATTTTGCGAGCGGTAACTGATCTGAATCCATCTTTTCGACTACATTTTTGATAACCCTAAGGGCATCATCTACTGGTACATTAGTAAAGAGAGACTTCACGTCAAAGCTGGCCAGGTACTTATCTGTTAAGTCGGTGTTCTTAAGTCGTTCGATCAGATCGTCGCTGTTTCGTAAGTGTGCATCACTGACCGCCCCCAATAGGTCTCGTTAGTGCACCTTATGGGCCCTAAATAACCACACTAAAATCTCAACAAGGGCCCCACGCCGGCTTCTGAGGTAATCTTGCAGATTTTAAGGGCCCCTCGGTGGTCTCCAAAGGCCCGTTACTGGCCTCTGAGAGTCCTACCGGCCTATGAGGGGCCAGTTCTAGGGGCATTTCCCGCCTGTGATGGTCCCACACTTATTTTACTGAGGGCCCCATAACGGCAACTATGGGGCCCTCATCGGCGCCTATGAGGGCCCACACCGGTGGCTCTGAGGGTTTCACACCCCCAACTCTGAGTGCCTACACCAGTGCCTATTAAAATTAAGCCCTGTATCGGCGGCTCTGAGGACCCAACCAACACCTGTGCATCTGAAGGCCACCCACTGGTGACCTTTGAGGGTCCCACACCGACCCTCTAAGGACCCCACAGGACTTCTTCTGCCGGCCTAAGGACCCCTTGCCGGTCACTGAGACCCCCTGCCGGCTTGTAGAGAGTTCGCGTCAGCAGCTCTAAAGCCCCCACACTCGTCTGTAACGGCTCCACACCAGCGTCTATGAGGGCCCACAGCAACGCCTGTAAGGACCCTCATCGGCGCCTCTGAGAGAATCACACTAGCACCTCTGAGCGCTCACACCGGCACCTGCATGACGGCCCTTGTTTTGTTGGGTTAGGCCCTTTCGGTCTGACAAGACCATTGCAGAGCCGGAAGGATGATAGGAATTAGGGGGAGACATTGGTCTGGACAGGCACCCTAGTGAGTCGCCGGGGCTGAGCCCGTCCAGAGGACAGGCCACCCAGCCCCAAGGCACTCACTGCACCCGGCTACGATGACGGCCCCACACCGGTGCCTCTAAAGGCCCCTTACCGGCGGCTCTGAGCGCCCTACGCCGGTGATTCTGACGGTGCTGCCGATAACCGAAGGCACCACATAAGCCCTTAGTGTCGCTGAGCTTTAATCCCATACCGGCCCTCTAATGTATCCCATGCATCCCATCCCATACCGAGGGCGCCACGTCAGTGCACTCATTGCCCCACACCCCTCCCTCACACCCGGAGCGGGTAAACTGTGTTATACCTATAGCAACGATTTTACCACCGTTGTACGTTATGCATGTCTCAAAGTTGACTCAAAATGGTCCAGCATAAAACTGGCCTGCCAAGCTTATGGCCAAGGTCAGGCCCAAATCAAAGCGGGATGACAATAGCAGATGTTGTCAAATCGATACTGTATCAGCAGAAACCATTCGGATGGCAAGGAAAATGCCGTGTGTTGATGTTCAGATGTATAAAGGAAACAAGAAGGAAAGAAGTCCGGAAAAGGGAGGAAAGACCTTTTCTCGCTGCCTCAATGTTGAGGGGGCGCCGCCCCCTCGGCTCCCAAGTTGGGGGGGCAAGCGCCCCCGCTGCCCCCCTGTTCCCGGGTCTATGAAATGCGTTTTACTCGGTGTTATAGCGCTTTCCCTTGAAGCCCGTGAACGGTGAAACATTTTATCTTTGACCTGACCTGTGACGTCATCGGTGACCCCGAGGTCAATGAAATTTGATTTCCTTCAGCAAATTTGACAGGGCTATCGAACGCCGTTTGAATTTTCCGGATCCGTCCAGTAGTTTCGGAGATATGGGGGGCGGGGGCAAAATAATTCCCCTCCCCCACCGCGCGTAAGGTGGCGGGGAGGGCCACCGCCTGCCGGGTTAAACTCAAGTTTTTTTCTTTTAATTACAAACTTTATTTGTTAGTAAAATAGGCCCATGGTGTGCCAAGTTTTGATTTGCTGTCATGTTCTTCAGGGATGGTTCTCCCAAATGAGTGTTTGAAGAACAGCACAATTTTTTCCAAGCTAAAAATATCCCTATCCGCAGTAATCATCACTTCAATCGTCGGTCTGAATAAGGCCCCTGGGGCAGCCAATAGTCATGTCCTTAGCGCTGTATAGTGGTGCACATGCTGAATACCCTGCGCCGGCCGGCAGTGATAGCTGATAGCACCGTGGTGAGTCACCGCGTCAGCTGATTACACTGCAGTGAGTCGCTGTGACCGGACCTGGTGGGTTAGCCTATCTGACTGAGGCCCCATATTTATCAGCGGCTGCCAGGCTGCACTATCGGCCTCGGCGGCCGGCCGCGCCGTGCAGCGCTCTGCCAGTCCACTCTGGCGGCAGCGCAGCGGCAGACTTCTCCCGCACCTTGGTTAGAACTGCGGCGCTGCGAGTGCAGCGCAGACAAATTTTCAAACAGCAGCTCTGAGGCGGACGGTAGCTGAGGTGCGAGAAAGCTGCAGTAGTGGTGAGGTGACGTGTCGTGTGAGCTGCAGTGAGACGCTCTGAGGAGACGCTAGACGAAGTCTGAGCTTCGACTGCCGTACTCGCGACCAGGCGCCTACATCGGAAGCTGTGGGCTATCCTCGATGACCTGTCACCCGGATCACAATGGTCAGATAAAGCCGCTTACCAAACACAGCTGCTATTTTATCACAGTGAGCTGACTGCGATGGGAGTGTTATAGACAGACGAGGCCGCCGACCAGGCGCACTGATGGCAGCTCCGTCGATCGGTATCGACCTGGGCACGACCTACTCGTGTGTGGCAGTGCTGGAGCACGGCAAGGTGGAGATTATCGCCAACGACCAGGGCCACCGGACCACGCCCAGCTGGGTGGCCTTCACCGACACGGAGCGGCTCGTCGGACAGGTGGCCAAGCAGCAGGCCGTCCGCAACCCGCACAACACCGTGTTCGACGCCAAGCGACTGATCGGGCGCCAGTTCACTGACCCTGCCGTGCAGCAGGACGTCAAGCTGTGGCCATTCACTGTGGTGGACAGCAGCAAGGGGCCGCTCATCAGCGTCGAGTACAAGGGCGAGCGGCGGCAGTTCACGCCCGAGGAGATCAGTGCCATGGTGCTCGCCAAGATGAAGAGCACAGCGGAAGCGTACCTGGGCCAGACGGTCACCGACGTCGTGGTCACGGTGCCGGCCTACTTCAGCCACCACCAGCGAGCGGCCACCATAGACGCCGGCAGAATCGCCGGCCTCAAGGTCAGGGGCATCATCAACGAGCCGACGGCGGCCGCGCTGGCCTACGGCGTCAACAAGAGACGCGGCAACATGAGCCGGGTGCTTGTCTTTGACCTCGGCGGAGGCACGTTCGATGTGTCCGTGTTGAAGATTGCAGATGGAAATGCGTTCCACGTTCTGGCCACTTCCGGTGACACGCATCTCGGTGGCCAAGACTTTGACAATAGAATGGTGCAACATTTCGTAGACGAGTTTAAACGAAAGCACAAAATAGACATATCAAAAAGTACCAAGGCGATGCAGAAGCTGAGAGTAGCGTGTGAGCAAGCGAAGCACACACTGTCATCAGCAACCCAAGCCGAAATAGAAATAGACTCACTCTACCAGGGCATGTATTTCAACAGTAAAATATCCAGGGCTCGTTTCGAGCAGATGTGCATGGACCTGTTTCGTCGAACGCTGGACTCCGTGGAGAAGGCCCTGCACGACGCCCACCTGGATAAATCTCGCATCGACGACGTTGTGCTCGTTGGAGGCTCAACACGCATCCCGAAGGTGCAGAAAATGCTACAGAACTTCTTCGACGGCAAGAAGCTTAACATGAACATCAACCCTGACGAGGCGGTGGCATACGGCGCCGCCATCCAGGCGGCTGTTCTCGAAGACGATCCCAGCAGCTCCGTGCGCGACGTGCTTCTCCGTGACGTCATTCCACTCTCTGTGGGCGTCGAGGTGGGCGGCCTGTCGATGAGCAAGCTGATCGAGCGCAACACCACGATCCCGACGCGGCGCTCAGAGACGTTCTCTTTGGGCCGCGACAACCAGGACGGCGCCACGGTGCGCGTGCTCGAGGGCGAGCGGGTGCTGACCAGTGACAACTGCATCATCGGCGAGTTCACGCTGAACGGCCTGGCGGCGCGGCGGCGCGACCACCCCGGCATTAGGGTCACGTTCGACTTTGACGCCGACGGCATACTGCACGTGAGCGCGTCCGACGTGCAGAGCGGCCGCTCAATGGAGATCGCCATCACGGAGAGGAGCGGCCGACTGAGCAGCGCCGACATCGACAGGATGGTGCGCGAGGCCGAACAGTTCCGCGCCGAGGACGACGCGCTGCGAGAACGGATCGATGTCAAAAACCAGCTGGAGGCGTTCGTCGTGAAGGCCCGGTACGCAATGGAAGACGCCGTGGCTCCGATCTCCGAGGATGACCGGAGGCTGATGTTCGACACATACAGCGAGACCATGGACTGGCTGGACAAGAACTCGCTGGCGGAAAAGGAAGAGCTGGTGTACCGTCTGCAGGACCTCAGGCAGCGACTGTCTCCGGCGCTGGAGCGAATAACGCGCATGCCGCCGCGTCCGGGCACCGACCAGCAGCAGGCGGCCGGGCCCGACCCGGGCGCTGGCCCGCAGAGGGTCCGGAGAACGGGCCGGCCCGACGACAGTGACAGTGCAGACGAGCTCCTGTCTGTGGGAGGCGCCGGGAGCCTGGACGGTGGCGGGTCGGGCCGGCGCCGGCACCGTGGCTCACTCAGCCATGCGGCTCGGCGGAAACCGGGCGCCGCGGAGGGGGCGCCACGCCGCCGAGACCATTGACTGACACCGACACCGGGCAGCGCGCCCTCGCAGCCGAACAAACGCCTCTCCGACCAAACCAGCTATCCAAAATGAGTCTGTCGCGTAAATGTAAAATCAAATACAGGGATGTCCACAAAACTAGTACTTTTTATTTTAGAATTACATGAATGCCTTCAGCATGAAGGGCATAGAATTTGTCGAAAATCAGCGATAGGGCGCCAGTTGCCTGGTCTGTATAGTCGACTACCTACAGAATAATGTTCCACTCCTCAGAAGCTCTCAGTTGACCGGAGCGCTAACTTGTGCCGTTTATCACGCAATTTTAAGCGTGTCGATTGTGAGCATTGGGGCAAAGCTATAATTTGTAAACTCAGCTCGTGTGATGCGGCACAGCCTACCACTCCAGGCAAAGAATTGCCTGTGAAAAGTGGAACATTATTCTGCAGTCGACTATACATGTGTTGCTATTAAAGATCACTGATGATACCAGGTCAGGTCACAGGCCAGGTCACCAAGGATCAGCACATGAACCCAACTTTACTAAGGTTGTGCGATGCATGTTTTATGGCAAATTTTTCATTCCAACTCAATGGTGTTGGTTATAAGACCATCATATACGGTTAAGGTCACTTTCTGGTGGAAGTCTGGTCAAGGTCAGGTAAAAAAGGTCAAATTTCAGAGTTGATAGTTTTCCATAAAATGGGTATTAATTCGATGCAACTCGTCACGAGGAGTCTAATGGTGGTCTTTGTTTTGCGCTACGAGGTCTAGACTTGCTAAAAATTAAGTTTGAAAATTTGACGTCATCAATTTTGAACAGTTTTATCACATATAACTTGGCCCAAAGAAGAGGTATCGATCTTAACTTTGGTATGTGGATAGATGGTGTTAGGGAATATCACATATATTCCATTTTATCGAAATTAAAAAAAAATCTTTTTGGATTTTTCGGCTATTACATTCAAAAATCTAGGTATTTTTATTTTTTTGGGTCAAAATCTAAAAATTTCAAAAATCCGAGACATAAAAATAGCAGTTTATAGCAGTTTTGTAGCCCTGTCAATTCTACAGCTTTTATGTCCTTTTCATTTTTCTGTATTTGCAAAGCTATAGGCCTGACAGCTCTTCACGCGAAACCTTTTTTTGGGTCGAAAATGGCAGAAATGACCTCACTCCGACGTCATTAGCGGCCAACCTATCATAGTTCTTGGAAAAAATTGTCACAATGTGTAAAAGCTATTCACGGGAGGGTACTGAAAGTTTGGTGACGGTCGGCGCAGCGGTTCTGTATATATATCGACAAAACTAGGGGGGGGGGATGTCCCTCCCCCACCGCCTGGAAGGCTAGGCATGCTATATTGCCACATTGATCTATCTTCAGTATGTTGCGAGCTATTGCGAAAAGAAACTGATGTGGGTGGCATTCCACCCCCACCCCTACCCACGCCTCGCCCGAGGAGGGTTAACTCTAGCTACAGAAGCTATAAAATGTGTTGGACTAGTTTAGCAATAAGATAACCGAGAGTTTCTTTCGGGATAGCAATCACAACAGTCAATGGTACATACCAGGCGGGCACCGTGAGCATTTTCAACGGGAAAACAGCGCCAACTGATTATGTGTTTGCTGCCTTTGAACTGCGTCATCTACGGGTACACCTTGTTTTTCTTACTGTACGGAGTAAGTCGTGGCTAGTAAATTATATTTTTGGGAAATGGAGTTAGAAGTGTTGGATTTCTTGAGTTGTTTATTTAAATTGACATATAGATAATTTTCTTTTTACTTCACCACATTTACAATTCTTATTATCTACATTCTAAAAGAATAAAATAATAAAAATAATTTTAGATCAGACTTTGGGGATGCCTTGGTTCACTTTTTTCCATGTTTAGTCGTGGCTAGTAAATAATACCTACTATCATCACATGCCACAAGAATGGATCCGAATGCTTGAACTACTATTGAGATTAAGTAACATATTATTACTTTCATAATAAGAAGAGTCGATATTTTAGTCCTTTATCTATTTTGATGTGCATTCGCAACTTCATTTCTGATTGAAAGCCAGAGTTTGGATAAGCACCGGTCACGAAGAACATCTACAATACCTATACATAGCCCGAAGATATTGCTACGCCATGACTCCAAACGGTTTGATTCTTGGGAAGGTTTCGATTTTAGAATATATGACGAAAAGGAAACTGTTGTGATTCCTACGGTGAAGCGCCGCGTACCCGAACTCCATTTGTGAACTCGTGTATACTCCATTGAAACCAGTGGCGAAACATTAACATTTTCCGATCGGGAAATCAGAAATGTTTCAGAAATCCAGGAAGTCTTAAGCAATGTCCTCACAATAACCAAACTAGGATCAGTCAGCCAATGATTGAAGGTAGCGAGCGCAACCCACGCCTCCGTTTAATACTCATTCGAGCAAACCATGTCTCTTCACACTGCATTTATTATACGCAGGTAATGTGACACAGTTTCACAAGTAGAAATAAATCGATATAGATCATCGGTCGTTTATTGAACGTCAAAAACCCGGTTCGGATCACTAAGGCCACGCAGGAGAGAGTTCACTGACCCTCACACAACTCATGAACAAATACAGGACACAATAAAATTACGAGTACAACTCATACATATCCTTACACACATTCAATTCAGTCAACAACATAATTGTACCTGACGCATCGAATGATTGTTGGCACGAGTAAAAATGTTGCTCCTAGCGCAGATCTCATATTATTTAAGCCCGATATGTCCTACGCTATCCAGCAACCACTCCATTTTAAGAGTAACCCTGTGGCCTGTTAATTTAGCAGCAGGAGCATAACGCGACCCCGGTCCCCAACGGCAGCCCTCTGTCTAGGGGACAATTAGGACTCAATGATTGCCAGTAGTCGGCAATGAGGCAGTCCATACATGCTCCATCGAGGAGCGGGGCACGTCGAGTAATCAGCATATCGGGGCAGACATCGCGCCAGCCACAGGTGGGCCCCGCACAGGCACGGGCAGCGCAGCAAGACGTGCTGCGGGGTGTCCGCCTCCTCCCCGCACACTAGACACCGAGCGGCAGGGCAGGCGGTGTACATGCAGCCGGGGCAGTCGGGGGTCGGCCGGCGGCCGATGCGGTGGAGATACTGTGTTGATACGCTCCAGTGGCCGGCCCGTAGCTGGTGAATATCCACCGCTGCCTCTCTGCTGTCGAGTCGCACCGGTGCAGGCAGGGTCCGATCCGGGAAGATAGAGCGGTACCAGCCGCCGGGCAGGCTCTCCTGCCATGATCGGCGCGCAGACCTGGCGGCGGCGCGGGTGATGCTCTTGACATCCAGGGGGGGGGGGGGGGGCGTTGGTCTGCTCGAGTTCGGCGGCCTCCATCGCCAGCATGTCGGCCCGCTCGTTGCCCGGCAGACCACAGTGGGCCGGGACCCACTGGAGGTGGAGACGGCGACCGCGGTTGGCCAGCTGCATTAGGAGCCGCCAGATAGCGTCGCCTAGCTGGCTCGTCTGCGCCGCCGGTCCCGCATCCACTGTCTGTTGTGCCGCCCTGGAGTCGAGGCAGACGATGATGGTGTCCGGGTGAGTGTCCTGGTCCGGTGTGAGGTCTGATTCGGCAATCTCCTCCAGGGCAGCACGGAGGGCCACCAGCTCAGCTCTGGTGCTGGAGCATAGGGCGCCGGCGGGGGTCTTGACCGTCCACTCGGCTCCGGCGGGGAGGACGATCAGGGCGCCGCCCCCTCCTCGCACGGTGCCTCCCTCCGCCAAGCCGTCAGACCACACCCACGTCGCCCGCTCTGCTCCGGGGAGGTCGGCCAGCATGGCCTCCGCTGCCGCGCGGCGAGCCTGGTCGCCGGCGCTACGGACGCAGTCGGGCGGAACGGCACAGGAAATCGTGATCCCCTCACTTGAGGTCCACGGAGGGAGCTGTGCAACGACCATGGGTTCCACCTGGGAGGCGGTGACGCCCAGGGCGTCCAGCGTCCGTCTGCCCTCGTCGCGCCATCCTGTGATGTTGCGGAGTCGGCAGGGACGTGAGGCTTCGGCGAGCTCCCGGAGCGGATCTCCGGCGGGTAGTGCGGATGCGCGCGCCAGCAACCTCGTCGCGAGGGTGGCGCGTCGCATTTCCGCGGTGGGCAGGCCGGCCTCCGCCATGAGAGCGTGGGTCGGCGCTGACCTGGGGCACCCCGTCACGGCGCGGGCCGCTGCGCGCAGCTCCCGGTCCACAAGCTCCAGGTGGGAGCGGGATGCTGCGGGGAGCCACGCGGCCGCCGCATATTCGATGGCGCCGCGGACGTAGCCGTTGGCCACCGCGCGTAGGTGGTGCTCCTGAAGTCCCCAGGAGTGTCCTGTGAGCTTGCGCAGCTGGGTGGTGCGAGGGCGAGCCTTCCTCTTGAGGTTGTTGCAGTGCTCTCCAAAATGGAGCAGCCTGTCAAACAAACGTGACCCCAAGCAGCTTGATGGTGGAGGTCGCACGGACAGGAACGTCCGATACCTTGATGACGGCATCTTTGGCGTCCCGGCTCCATTGGGACAACACCATTATCTGCGTTTTCTGGCTGGCGATCGTCATCTTGTTGCGCGCCGCCCACCCCACCATGAGGTCCGCCGAGTGCTGAGCTGCAGCTAGTGCTGTCTGGATCGTCGCGCCGGCGCTGAGGGTGGCAGTATCATCGGCGTATCAGTCAGCTCGGAGAGGGAGTGGGCGGACGAGGTCCCGGTCACGGAGCACGGACGGCGCGCGGCGGCATTTAGCAGACCTCGCCAATCTGAACATTAGTCGGGCTACGACTGGACCACAGCCCGGTCCACCACTGCCAGGACCGCCGCGCGGCGTGGGCATTTTACGATCAGCCAGCACGCCGCCGCACGGGACCACGCGGCGGCTGTGACCTTCAGTGTTGTTGTCGTTGCTTCCTCCAGCCGCTACCGCGGCGTAATGGTACAGCTCTCGAGGTTTCTCACGGCGGTCGTCAGGGCCGCCACCTCTTCGTCCTCACGGGGGCCGGGCACCGAAAGAATAGGTGATGGGGGAGGGCCGAGGGGGGGGAGTCGATGTCGGAGCGCTGGCGGCGTTCGTCAGTAGGGTTCTGTTCTATACAGTGAAGATACTGGCGGAAGCCCAACCACTGGCCCGTACGAAGCCGGTAGAGATCGGCAGCCGATGCTCGGTACTCCGCAACCGCTAGCGGCGGCAGGCAGCCCCCCCCCCCCATCAGAAACTGGCACCAACTGTCCGGCCAGGCGGCGGTGGCACAGTGGCGGGCCAATCTGATGGCCGCGCGGTGGGCAGTGCCAACATCCCCCGGGACTGTCGCCTGGGGGAGCGGGGCCGCCTCCGCGCTCGAGGCTCGCGCTCGAGGCTCCTTAGCGGCCTGGTCGGCGCGCTTGTTACCATCTATGCCGGAATGGGACGGCATCAATTGCAGGTGGAATTGGCGGAACAGGACTGCCAGCCCCGTCCACACGGCGGCGCCCATCGAGGTTTTCTGTGTGGCTGGGCCCTCCCTCAGTGTCGCGAGCGCCGCCTGGGAGCCTGTGCAAAAGACGACCGGGGCGCTCAGGTGCCACAGGTGGTCGCGCTGATGGCTGAGCGGAGCGCAGCCATCTCCGCGCTCTAGCTGGTGCAGAGCTGGCCAAGGCCCCGGCCCCTCCGCTGCGGACTCTTGCGTCAGCCGGCCCGTCCGTCCATACCCAGGTGGCTTGGGAGAAAGAGCGCCTCGGACGTACTCGATGGTCATGCAGATTGTAGGCCTCACGAGTGGCCAGTAGGTCTCCTCGGCTGCGCAGTACATGGCGCATCCTCCTTCGGATGCGGCCGGCGCGGAGCCCTCGGTGGTAGATCAGCAGGTAGAGCATTACTTGCACAGCTTGATGATCAGAGTCGCTCGGGCGGTCGCTGACGCGCTAGCGCTCGTCACCAGTGGCGGGGCAGGCTGGCAGGGGCCAGGGCTGTCTTGCATCAGCCGAAGGCCCCTTCCATCGCCAGAAGCTGAAGCTGGCTACTGGCCTAGACCGCCAGCATCGTGGATTCGTGCTGTTTGATAAGCTCATTTCTCTAATCTGAAAACAAACAAACAAAAGTGGTTTCAAAAGGTATGCACACTGAAGTCAATTGCCAGTGAACCTTGTCATGACTAAAAATACAACCTGCATTGATTCCACACAGAACAAAAAAGTTAACATTGGGCTTAATAAGAATAATGGAGCACCATACAACATATATTGTATACATTCAGTATTATTTGCAATAATAAAGAATAGCACATGCTCACAGCAACCCAACACCACTGGCCACCCAAGTACTCCAGGCTCAAGTCATTGTTGATGACTCAACCATATCCAGGAAAGTCAACAATTTTTCATATTTTCAACTGCATGAACATTTTATGCTGATTGCACAACTAACTGACTCAAATTTGATGTTTTAAAGCAATTCATATTTGCTGAGATGACAATGAGCAATGTGAACATGTGCTTCTAAATCAAAATGATAACAATGCAAAGCACAACCAAAAGTTTGTAAATATTTAGTGGCTGCTTCCTTTTGTACCACCAGAAGGCTGACCTCACTGACATTCATGTGTTTGAAGAAAGAGAGGAAACCTTTGCTTACCTATTAATAAACTTACCCATTGATAACTGGCCAGAATTATAGGCTTGCTGCTTTTTCTGAGTGATATATTTTCAAAATAACCCTGGTTTCTTCATAAGTGATAGGAGATTGTCCTGCAAACATGAGAATGCATGTCAGCAATAACTACAGCAAAGATGCACTTTCAGTGTGGGTGTCATACAAAGAATGGCCATTATGGAGAGGTTGCCTGAGCCATGTGAAGCCAAATATGCACCCTCATTTGGGGGGGGGGGGGGGGGCGCATACCTATTTATATTTGGATGTTACATCACAAGCTAAAGCACTTCTCAAAAATAATATCATTTCTAATTCTTGTAGCTGGTAAAATGTAGGACATTGTCGGCTATTATTTTCTTTCTGGTATTTGTCAACATGAAGTCCTAACTACAATTGTGACACTGTTGATACACAACAACAGAAATTTCAGGTTTTAGGTTAGTATAGGTTGTAGATTTGTATGTTTTAGGTTGTTAGGTTGTAGGTTGTAGGTTGTAGGTTGGTAGGTTATAGGTAAGTAGGTAAGGTAAGGTCAGGTTTGATTGTTTTTCTTTTATTTGCGAGACACGTAAGTATCATTTTAGGATTCAGGATGTCAAATAATGTAAGAATATGAATAACTTTATCCTTGAAATCTTCTTAGGACTTTATCTTTACATTTGCCTTCTTTGTTTGCATTGTTTGTTTTGTTTTTTTTTTTGGTGCTGCTAAAAGGACAATTGCCGTGTTTACATAGAGATCGTTGCAAGCTCCATCTGTTTTTAGGGCCTTGGCTTCATCCATTATCTTGCAAAAGATGGCAATGGTGCTGAACAATTTACAGAATGATCCCCTCTAAATATGCGAAGATCACTGCATGGAAATTATCACAAAATAAATAAGCTAGAGCCTAGTCAAAAATGCGATGTAGGCATACCTATTATTTCACGCAACAGCAAGCACAATTGCCACAACCAATGGAAAAATATTTCAAAGTTTAACTGATATGAATACATATCTGATTTCAAACACGAAATTCAACTTCTGTCTCACCTGATAACGAGTTAATTTAATTATAATTGATAGCTTCGTGACCCCCTCCCCACTTCTCATGTTTTGGCGGTGCGGCGGAAATGACGCACACGAGACGCACGAGACGCAGCTCCAAAACAATAGAAGCATGCTTTCCCTACGGCCGACGAAATTCTATAATATTTTATTTCCAATTTGTGATTCCTTAACATCTAAACTTTGGTAAAACGTCAATGCAGTTCCCAGTAAACATGCCGACGTCGGCCCGACGTCGGGCCGAGGCTCGGCCCGACGTCGGCCCAACGTCGGTTCAACCTCGGCCCGACATCGGCTGGACGTCGGATATGCCCGCATGTTCCGACGTCCAGCCGAAGTCCAGCCGACGTCGAGCCGACGTCGGGCCGAGATCGTTTGCCGAGGTTGACGAGATCGTTTGTCGTTGGACCGACGGGGCCGACGTCGGCATGTTTATTGGGACAACGCGCCAAAAATATCAACCAGCGGCAGGATTCGAGCCCCCCAGTCGCCGACGTCGGCATGTTTACTGGGACAACACGTCAAAAGCATCAGCCAGCGATGGGATTCGAACCCCGTGTCATTCGAACGCGAGGTTAGTGCGCTAACCATTACACCACGCCGCCAGCTAACTAATTTGGTTTGTTTTGTTGGGTTATGCCCTTTCGGTCTGACAAGACCATTTCAGACCCGGAAGGATCATAGGATGGAGACATTGGTCTTCTTGGCGAGCACCCTGGGTCCAGTTCATATAGAGTCCCTGGTCCCATTGCTGTTACGTGACACTTATTGGAAAGGGCGACCCCACAATGGATTCATATAGCCACTCTTACACACCTGCACCAACGTTTCCCAAAGTGTCTGTACTGTGTTGTACTCTGTACTGGCAGCGCTGATCTGTTTCGCCGGCTCGCTCATGCTGGCGCGCGCGAAGGCGGGTCAAAGTTCGGATGTGCCGGCGGCCGGCAGCGGCGAAGCGAAGGCCATCTGCAGCGGCCGCCGGCCCGCCGGGCAGTGGGGGTCAGGCGGAGGGGAGGATCGGGTTTGCGCGTCGTTCGGTGTGCAGGTGCCGACCGCGGCAGTGGAAATACAGTTCCGGCTTACAGAGTCCCTTTGATAAGTGGCACTTTGGCAAAGTGACACTTGCCGACTGGCCTTTCTATATGAACTGGGCCCGGCCCTGGTGAGTTGCCGGGGCTGAGCCTGACCAAAGGATAGGCCGAGCAGCCCCCAAGCACTCACCGCACCCGGCTACGGGCGAGCTCGGCTTACGGGCAATCCCAAATGGGAATGGGATAAAGTTTCCCGTCCAGTCCGGATCAGGGGGTTGCGGCGTGGAGGAAGATTTGAGTTTCTTGAGGATATTTTGAATACAGAAGCTCTTTATGAAACATGAAACATGTATTTTATATTATTTTAACGGTCAAAACAGCGGCCGATGTCGGTCCGACGTCGCCCCGACGTCGGCCCGACGTCGGCTGGACCTCAGCAATTGATCTCGGTCCGACGTCGGCCCGACGTCGGCTGGACCTCGGCTAGACGTCGGAACATGCGGGCATATCCGACATCTAGCCGACGTCGTGCCGAGGTTGGACCGACGTCGGGCCGATGTCGGCATGCCGATGCCGAGTTGCCGACGTCACCCCGACGTCGGGCCGACGTCGGCATGTTTACTGGGTTAAAATTGTTTCTAGTATTTTATTTAGATTCAGCTGAGAAAATATCAAACGGAAGCCCATGGTCTCGAAACTGGGCGAATTCCTTAGTACTTATCATTTTTTTCATAGCAAAATTTTTGTAAGAAAGGGTCAGTTATAGCCGATAACATCTAACTGAGTGGTTACTGACCATATAGCTGGAATAGTCAATAACTGAGGATTTTGTGGAAGTAAAAAAATCATCAAAGCAAGACCTCTTTAGCGAAGAAAATAGCTGAAATACTGGAAAATAGGAGGTGATGGCTGAGGGTGCCCCAGGGTTTTCCGCATTTTAATTAACCTTAACATCTTATTTGAGGGGATTGTTGTACCTTATTGAAATCTCTGAGCGATTTTGAATTTACGAGTGTCCTAATATCATCAACCCAATCTTTGGATTTCACGAAATCGACGCTGGCAAAAAGGCTTTTTGAGTGCCTGATTTTAATTACTTTTCTGCGTAAGTAAAATTTAGATGGGCAAGAGATAAATAATTCACCAATGAAATCAAAAGATGCGGCTTTTTTGCCAGTTTGGGCGAATTCTGTAGTGTAGTTATCGATTTTGAAAATGTAAATGCTGCTAATGGAATGCCAGGAATGTGAACCAATAGGGTCCATGTTGAAGGAAATTCTCGGCGTTACCTAGTATTTTTATCTACCGTGGTACATACTAGCCGCCAGTTGAATGCCATTGGCAAGGCTTGATTTGTAAATTGCAGACTTTGCTACAATCGGCCTCCAGTTTGAAATTAGGCACATTGTGCTCGAATAACTTTGCAGTGCTGGGACAGGTGCCGACGACTTTCCGACTTCCCGACAACTTTGGCCAGTTCCAGTCGGCGGTCCGACTTCCGAGCCAACTTGTTGGGCTCCAGAGACTGAGCGCCGACTTCGAGCGCGACCACTACCCGCACTTCTGTAGAAATTTGGCAGCGATAGAACTATCGTGCATAGATATGCCTTTATGTTCTGAGCGGTGGGGGTCGAAGCACAGTGCCTATACCTTTAGTCTTGCACTCCCCGTAACTTCATGCTTCGCTATGAGAAACCATGGCTTTCCGTTTTAGGTGCCTTGCACCTTTGCGAAATAATTTTTGCTTTGCAATTCGATTGTCCATAAAACCTCTGTTCTTGAAAAGTTGTGAACGGAAGATCATAAAATAGTCCCAGACTACATAGAGCGACCCTACAAGTGCCCTTCAATCATACATCTCGTGGGTACTCGCATGCTCACGTTGCCGTGAGAACGCATCAGCGAAATCTGCAAACATAGCATCCTAGAGACGCACTGTTAACCCGCGCACCGACGGGGGGGCGGATATCCGCCCCCCCTGAGGTTTTTCGCGGATAGCGGGAAAACCGCGGCGCGTAGCGCCGCGAAATTTGGTATGACTATTCTCTCATCAATTTTACACATGGTGTGCAAGTTTGAACCTCCTAACTTTAAAGGTCAGGTCACCAGGTCACTTTGAATGACCCAACCTCAAGTCACTTTTTTGCAACTTTGTCACCGTGCCAGAGCTACAGTAGATGTCGGAGGCCTTTGAAAGTCGCAGGATGTTATTAGGTCATTAGTAGCTACAATTTTTATATCTCGGAATTTTGATGTCGGTGACCTAAGGTCAGGTCAATTTCGCGACCTCCCCATTATAAGTCAATGGGGGAAAAATCAACTCCCTGTTTTTACCACTAAAACGGGTCGGAATGGCCCCATATACCATACATGACTTCACATACGATCAACCTTCACTACCTTGAGGTCTGTTTTGCTGTTGGGCAGCTGTAAGGTCATGTGACGTCATCAAAGGTCACCAAAGGTTTTTTGCCAATAACTCCTTACAGGAACAAGATACAGCCGCGCGGATGGTCTCATTGTGTTCAGCTCGTCAAGACGCATCGAATGATATACATGATGACCTCGAGGTCACGTGACCTGAGGTCAACCTTTGACCTTGACCTTTCGAGGTCAACATGTATATCATTCGATGCGGATTGACGAGAGGATCACGATGATGCCCTTAGTTTGTTCCTATCTTGACTACTTCGAAAGTTATTCGAGAAAAACCCTATCCATATCTAGCGCCGCCATTTTGACTTTTTCGACCCCTGTGACGTCATCTTTGACCTGACCTGAAAATGACCTTTGTAAAAATTGTAGACCTTGTCCGTGCGTATCCGATGCCGTTTACCGCTTGTCGCTATCTTGCTTCGTTCTCGAGATCTCAGGGGGGGCGGTCATCCGCCCCCCCCCCCCGTCGGTACTAAGTTGGCGCAGACCCCCGTCGGTGCGCGGGTTAAAGATATAACACTCTTTTTCACAAAATATGTCTAATGCGGAATTACCCTGAAGAAAAGGCACAAAATTGCACTGATCATTTAGGTTACATATTACCGTATCGGTCAGCACATCTTTTCGGTACCAATTTTTTCTGTAACCGATGACACCACTATTAGCTAGTAGCTACTATAAAACACGTAGACACCGCTTGTCTCCGTAAAAATCTTAGATTATCAGATTCAACCCTACTACTACTTAGTACTTACGAGCAGAAATGTGCTGAATTTTTTACCTTCAACGATGTTTACGCTACCGATGCTCTTTTCGTCCATCGATCTTAATGCTCTGAATCGGGGAATCGACGAAATGCATTTGCTCGACTGAGATGTGCTCCTTGTTTGCGTAGCTGGGCGAGGCGAGGCGCGCGAATGGAAACGCTGCAGCCGGTTCCTTGGAAGCTGAAATTTACTAGAGCGTATTCAATTGATGCATCGCTGCAGCACTTCGAAAAACGTCTACCAAAATCATACATCTTCACTGAATGGTTCCTCTGATATTGTCATATGAATTATGAGCCATGGAGAATTTGCAACCAGTCCAGGTTACAGCTGTCTCCTATGAAGCTTATCTTGAGGTACTCTGGCAATACCTGGCCAAACGCAAAATTGACATTTTATTTCGCCCAGATTTAGAATTATGAGTGAAGCATAACTTATAATGCGATTAACCCGTGACCGCCTGGGGGGGGTCGGATCCAACCCCCCCTCCGTTTTTCTTGAATAGCTCATGAACCGCTTACGCTATTAACTTGAAACTTGGCATACCTTCTCCCCCATCAATTTGACGTCTCCTGTGTAATTTTAAAGAAAATTTTAAAATGTTTCATGAGATATATTGATTTTAGTGATGTAACTGTCTGATGTCTATGTGATGTCTATGTGATGTCTATGTGATGTATAATGTTTGACCGTGAGACAAAGACAGTCGGATAACCTAGATCTGGTTGCTCCGCGAACAGATTTTATGAAATATTCACTGTCATATCATGGCTCTAAATTGTGGAATAGTTTGCCCACTAGAATGAGGAATGCCTCAAAATTTGAACTGAAAAAGTATCTCCTAGCAAAAACAAACACTGACAACTGATGATCACGTTTCACCCAATGTGTGCGAATGTACTCGTATGTGCCCTGCAGTGTACAGTAGGTCTATTAAAAAAGTCCCCGGCACCAG